AGAAATTGGGGGGGAAAAAAAATTTGGGAAAACATTTTTTGGCCCCCTTTTGAAAAAAGGGAAAGAAAAATTGGCCCCTGGGTTTTGGTCCTGGGGGAAAAAATTTCCCCCCTTTTGGGGGGGGGGGGTTAAATGTTTTACCCTTAAAGCCCCCAAAAAAAAAAGGGTCCCCCCCCCCCCCCCCCCCCCCCCCCCTTGCGCTTGGTCACCAAAGTGGACGTGGACGATGTATGCATGTCAAAAGTAGAGTCATCTACTACAAGAACCAAAGTGTGCTCTGCCTTCAACCCGGGATTTGACAGGTGTCGGTGGAGGAGCCGTCGCCGGATAGGGTGGAGCCGAATTGCCCGCTTTTCGGCATGTGCGGGGGCTGCCAGTACCAACACGTGAGTCGTGGCCTGCGTGCTTGTGCTTGTGTGCAGGGTGTCGGTCGGGAAGGAAATCCAAGCGTACTGTATATGGTTCTATTTCGCGTCCGTTCTTGATGGACGTCGCCCGTTGACTTTCAGGCACCACCAGTTCCATGTCAGGATAGGTTTTGTGTGCAGCAATTTTCCATGATGTGGCGCTGTCTGCGTTGTGTGGAAGAGGTGTCAGGCAGGGAGTCAACCTGCCGGGGGGGGGGGGGTTTAAGGTACTGGTGGCGTGGTCGGCTAGGGATGCGGCACCCTGTTTGTTTTTCTTCGCTGCCTGCAAATGCAACTGAAACTGATAATGACGAGTGTGTCTAGCAGGAGACACTTTCCCGATGTAGTGGAACAAGACGATTCATGAAGGAGACAGAGGCACCGACCGTGGTTTTTATCTTGAACTAAGTTTTACTCCGGCGCACAGTTGATCAAGCAGACGAATAGTAGTCAACGACGCCGTTCCTGGTCTAATTTTAGCGCTTTTGTCGCTGGGGCTTAATTTATTTGTTAACTGAGCGTTGTGTGCGTTATCCACGTGTTCTATAATATGCGAGAGATCTGGTAGAGTCAGATAACAACGCCGCGCGCTACATACGGGATGCTTCCGATACTGTTCCGGGCGATCCGCATCGTTGTAGACGAGGTTGTACGCGTGTGTTATCAGCAATATCCGACCATGCCATCCAATTTTTTTTTGCGTTTATTGCGATGTGTTTTTAGATGTCCGTGTCGATGCAGCGGGACTGGAAGAATCAGCAGGTGATGGACTGCCTGACTCGCATCGGGGGTATGGTGGATCCGGCAGTGAAGGACACGTTTGGAACGGACGAGACGTACGGGTACCGTTCTAAGCTCACGCCTCACTATGACGCGCCGTATCAGGGCCGGGTTCGAGAGATAGGTTTCAAAAAGTGAGAGGGATGTTGTTGTTGTCGTTTTTGTTCTTGTATAAACGTAGAAGAGGTTCTGCGTGCTACATACGTATGGCTGTTGGCGGGTGTTATTTGCTTGCAAACAGCCGGGTCTCGCTTCGCTATTCAACGCCACAAAGTGTGTACAGGCTGGTTGAACACTACACACGACGCCGACACACCAACGAATGATGCGTAGTTTGAAGTGCACGTGTGGCATTTCGAGATGATTATCACTGTTGGCTGGGAGCGCACAACGTATGCAGTTTTTTACAGGCCTGTGGTGGTATCTAGGACGCCCGCGCCAAGTAGGCCTTTCGCCTCATAACTTTCAGAGGAGGCAAAATGAGGCGGTCTGTTGGATCGAATGACGTTAGCCTTTCACGATAATGTAAAACCACATCGACCCGTACCCCACGCTGTAACCTACCCCCCGCCACCTCTCTTCCTTAGGGTGAAGTTTCCCACCATTTACCACGGCGTGGACCTCGGGAACGTGAATCCCAGCAAGGTGGTAGACGTGGAACGGTGTCCCCTTGCCACCGAGGGCATCAACGAGTCTTTGCCGCCAGCTCGGCAGGAAGCCCGAGAACGCGTGCAAGCGGCGTTCGACTCCGGCGACGGCAAGCGGGTGGGGAAGCGAGGGGCCACCCTGCTGTTCAGAGAGACCACGGAGGAAGGGACGGTGACGGACAACAACGCGCACGTCTCGGAACGTGTCGGCGGGATGGTGTTCAACTTCAAGGTCTGCGTGTGGTGCTTGGATTGTGTCTTTCACTTGGAGGGGGGTAGGCGGATGGGAGGGTTATTCCTCTTTTGACGTGGGGGGGTCTGACTGGTTGTAGCGTTGGCTTCGTTGTTGGCATCGCAGCACGTGACATCCGAATCCTGTTTCTGCTTTAAACCTTACCTTCAATGCCTTCGTTTCTTGTTCACGACGGATCTTCGTTTCAGGCTCGTTTTCGTGTGTTGAAATGTTTTGCTGCGGTTGGGCGGGGGCGTTGTTAGGCTGCAGGGTCAGGGTGGTGTGAGTTTGCCTCTAGAAAAGAGAGGAAGGTCGTTGCGTGTTTTCAATAAATCGTGCGGCTAATTACTATTCCTAGAAAGTTTAATTGTTCCAAGATCGGCGTGCTCGTTGGCTAGGACGAGCCAGCAGATCCGGCTGTTCTTGATGGTTACTGGTTGTCTTTGTCTTTGTCGTCGTCGTCGTCGTCGTCGTCGTCGTCGTCGTTGTAAGCTTTTTTTGTTCGGGCAATATATTGCCAAGCCAACCCGAATGAATCGCACATCAACTCCACCCCTTTCACAGTATTTCCCCAAGCCTTAAGTAGGTTACCCCCGCCCCTGCGCCCCCCTGACACACAATGTTCCCTCATCTCTCCCCCGCTCTCTGTGTCTACACATGAAGGCGGGCGAATTTTTCCAAAATAACCCGTACGTGCTACCGCACATGGTGGACTACGTGGTAGCGAGAGCTAAGGAAGGAGGTGCCAAGAACCTGATCGATGCCTACTGCGGTGGCGGATTGTTCTGCCTTTCGGCTAGCACCTCCTTCGAGAAGTGTGCCGGGATCGAGATCAGCCCCATGGCGGTCGACTGCGCCACGCGCAACGCTGCTACCAACGATATCTCGTGAGAAACAATTAGCACCGGATACCTTGAGAATGAGGGCAGGCGGGAGTTGTGGATCGTGTGTGAGACGGGTGGCCATTGAACGAGCCCCGACTTCGTCGTAAGAGTTGTGTTAGCGTCTCAGCGACGTCTCGTCAGACAGCAGTGTTGAGGGGCGTCCATCGCACGACACTCACATGTTTAGCTGGTGTTTGATGGCATGATGTTTTGGATGGTGGGTCGCTAGGGAGTATATGAATATCGCGGCGTTTTTTCCCCGCATACATTTTTCTCGTTCGCCGCGGCGGAATCGATGTTCTTGGGTTTCTTGCCGGGAGGAGGCGGTGTAGACTGTCAAGGGAATCTAGTTGGTTGTTTTTCTCTTCGAGACACTATCATCGGTTGTCGTTAAACTTGTTGATGGTGTGTCACTGACGTCAATGATGCTGATGCTAACTAATCGTTGGTTGTGCTGTTGTTAGTGACGTTGTATCATAGATAAAAAGACGTCGTTGATTACGTTGATGATCGTCATGGCAGCAAAACGGTTGGCTTTGATTGCTACTGCCGATGACATCCACAACATTTTTTTTCACGGTAAATTATCCCTTTTTTCTTTCGGTTGTGATGGCTGTTATCGCACGAGCAGGAACTGCCTGTTCTTGGCGGGGACAGCATCCAACATCTTCGCCAACGTCTCGTTCACGCCAAGCGAGACTGTGGTCATCGTCGATCCTCCCAGGTCAGGAATCGGCGTCAGTCGTTCGTGCTTCACCTTGCGAGCCTTTCGATACTCAGAACACTCGTCTCGAATTGATCAAACACTACGTTGACTTAAATGCTTATTTGGACCCTGTTTGAGTTTCTCTCTTGCCCCATATCTTTACAGCGTATAGTGACGGTTATTTTGATTTCTTTCCACTACATATCCCCACAAACCTGTCTACTGCTGTGCATGTCCTCCTCTTCCACCTCGTTACATCCCCCGTAAACCTTGGCGAGACCTGGGAGGACGTTGCACCTTGACTCACCCTTGTTTCAGACGTCTTGTTTGTGTCTACGCGTGACCATTGCAGTCGAATCAATCCAGAGGTACTGAGAGAGGGTAAGCCCAGAACGTAATCTCGACGTAGGTGCTGATCAGAAAGGGTGCCCACGTAAAGATGGCAATATCGAGCGTCTCCCCACGAACATAACTCATTTCGGGCTCTTGTAACGGTTGCAACGGGCAAGCACTGATGGCGAAACGCTTCTGTTGGGGGAGCTTTTCCGCAAGATGGTGGAAGGTGATAATTTTGGTTTGGAACAAGTTCTGCGAAATCGATCTCCGAAATATTTCAAATCGTTGTTAGCACGGCGGTTTATGGCCGTATGCTCATGGCAGTAGAGTCGAGCAGAAGTGGAGAGCAGGCAAATGCAGTAGGGATGGACGGTTCGGTGTATCTATTCAGTCGTGCTTTCCAAAACCAAGATAATACGGGATGTTATATCTACCGGTTTGACCCTGGCACCGGGACAACGAAAGCGTGCGTTTTCTAACGACCCGCAAGGCGTTTATTCAGCATTCCTTGGTTCTGATTCCCTGTCCTTTCCATGTTGGCTTGGACGCCGATTCATCTCGGTGATATCACGTACACAGGAATTTTGTTATGCGAATGGCTGGCCGTGACGAAACCCCCACTCACTGGTGATCTCGCACACATGACAAGACTGGGTTCGAAATTGTTGCCGGTGTCTGTTGCTTGTCATCAACCGCTCTTTGGCGCTCTCTTTGTGCTGATGTTGTTCGCACATGTATGCACATGTATTCCAGGAAAGGGTGTGATCAGCTATTCTTGGGGCAGCTGTTCAAATTCCGACCGACTAGGCTGGTTTACGTCAGCTGCGACCCCGCCACCCAGGTAAAACGCCGACAGCCCTGTGGGACCTCTCTATTTTCCTTACCCTCGTGGCGAGAGCACAAACTATCAAGCGTTTGTCGCCAATACACAGCAGTTTTTGGCAGTTGTTCTAGGTCTGGAATTGTTTTTTTGGATACGACTCCACATTCCTGTTTCTGATGCCCCTCTGCTGCCGTATTCTTTACGTACATGGTAGACCCATCCAATCCCGCCCCAACATCAGCAGTCGAGTCTCAACTTTTGGTGTGATTCATCAAAAACCCTGATTTCTCGAATGTATCGCCGCCTGGGATGCGGCCGGCGCTGCTGGTCTAGTTGGCTATGATTCTACCTTAGGGTGGTAGAGGTCGGGAGTTCGAATCTCCCGTAGCGTCGATCTTTTTTCGCGATGAAACTTTTGTTCCGCTTAACCCTGCTCACCTGTGAACATGTACTATAAAAATGCGTTTGTCCTCCATGCGTAGGGTCGAAAATCACATTTTATTTAGGACGAAGCAAGGTGCACCTTTTTTCTTTTCTGCACTCTTCTTCCAAAGGTTGGTGAAAGGTTGGCGGCTTTGAAATTTATTTGTGGCTCTGCTGTTCGTTTGCCCTTTTTTGAAAGCAGCTAGCCTTGGTGTTCGCTTGCCCCGCTGCGTCATGCAACCTCGCTCACTGGTTTTTGTCGTTGCTCTGCCGTGTGTCTTTTTCTCCGCATGCACGGAACTGTCAACTTAACACAACCAGGCTCGAGACGCCAAGGAGATAATGGCCAACGGGTACGAAGCGGTGGACATCCAGCCGTTCGATCTCTTCCCCCAGACTCGGCACATCGAGAACGTCATCACCTTCCAGGACAACCGGAAACGAGATTAGACTCCGAAGATTACCAATTTTCGGACAAGATTGTCAAACTTGACGCCTTTGGGGGGGATTGAAGCGCGTTCTTGTGGGTTGTTTCTGTCTTCACAATTAAAACCGTTCCTTTGTTTAATCCGTGGCATGTGTGTGTGTGTGTGTAATTTTTTTTTTAGGTTATGCTTCGTGATTGGCTGAAGCTCTCTCGCTCGTGTTGCTCCTCTTCGAGGATGTGGGATGCTTTTGGAAAGAACGGGAGTCGATGATGGCGAGCAGAATAAGTCAGCCAGCATCCCTGAACACCTTGAGGAAGACGGCCTTGCTGATTATGCTCTTTGGACAGCAATGCTTGCTGTTGCGTTGCTCTCCCAGGAAAACTAAAATGGGCGGCGCCCCCTGCAGGGAGGCAGGGGGGGGGGGGCGTACTCTTATGTTTTGCATGCCTTAGCGGTTAGACCATTGACCACGCGTCCTCGAGAGGACGGAGCATTGTTCCTACAGGACCGATCACCGATTGCCAATCGTTCCTTCCTACTTTGCCAAAGGTGGCTCAAAAATGTCTTCCCTAGTCTGTCTACCCTACCGATATCCCTTCCCGCCTTTTCAAACCACTTGCTACTCCCCAGTACAGCTACCGTCCTCTCCTCTCTATTCCATGTCTCAAACATCTCGCTGTACGTCCCTTGTATTTTTCCCAGCTAAGTCATGTACACTTCCCTCTCCTCTTCGTACCACGGACATTCCGCGACTCTACATGAACTCGGTCTTCGCATTCGAAGCCGCAATCACATTTGAACTTGTCGTCTTCGTCGTCTACCGTCCTATGTCTTCGACGTTCTCGAAGGCCTATGTCCCCGGTCCTGAATTTGACCTTAAGCTTTGTCCCTGCATCCATTGGTCCATGTAGATAATCCTTGAACCCTATTCCTTCTTTCAACATTCCGTACACTTCTAGACCCTCCTTATCCTTGGTTTCTTTCCTTAGATTCTGTTTTTCTCTCTCGGCACAAGCAACAGATACCTTCTCCTTGAACCCCTGTGGACCCTCCGTTTCCAGCGTTTCATCTTCGTCGATGTCTAACCCCTTCCATACGTCCTCTACAACCTTGCCCCATTCCGTGGGTTGTCTACCCCTCTTTTTGTTTGCCCACTTCGCCTCCCATACTATTCTCGGCAACCTCTCCTCTCCCATCCCGCACATGCGATACTGCCATGTCAGCTTCCTTGCGTCTCTTCCCGACCGTAGGGATTGGATCCCCAATTCTGCCCTGAGGGCTGCATTGCTTGTGCGCTTGGAGCATCCTAGAATGATTTTCGCTGCTTCAATCTGCGCCGCCTCGAGTTCTTTCACTACCTTCTTATTCCTTCCCATACTTCTCCGGCGTACTCTAGCGGCGGTAGGATTACGCTCTTAAAACCGTCAATTTGATGCGTGTATCGATGTGCCGGTTTGCGAGTATTGGGTGCAGCTTCCCTGCTCGTGCTTTGCCCTTTTCCGCTACCTTGGACATGTGTGCATTCCACGAGCAGTCTTTTGCGAGATCTCTACTCCGAGGTATGTGTACTGGTCCACTACTGCAATCTCCTCGATCCCCCCCTTCCATCTATGTTCTACTGGTTCCTCCCTGACCTCGTTGCATACCATGACGGCACTCTTCTTAACGTTGGCAGACTATCAGTAAACTTCTTCGCCGCGTCAATTTGTAGTTGCAGTCCCTCAGGGGTGTCCGACATACCAACAAAATCATCCGCAAACAGCATTCCTGACACCGAAGTTTCCGTGTCCCCTACTTTTACTCCCTTCCGGACTGCCTCTACGACTTCCAACAGATCGTTGATGAACACCTGGAACCATGTTGGGGACAGCGTGCAACCTTGTGGGACCCCCTGCTCAATGTCGAAGAATGTAGACAGTTCTCCGTCTACAGTAGCATGACAACGCTTTTCGTACACTCTGTCATCTTCTTCAGCACTCTCCACAATTTCCCCTTGATCCCGTACTTGGACAAGTGTTTCCACAGCCCATTCTCCATACGGTATCGTATGCCTTTTTCACGTCCAGGAAAAAGCAGTACGTCGGCTTTCCCGCCCTCTTTCTACCTTGGATGATTCTCCCTACCGTGAATGCGTGGTCTACGCACCCCCTCTTCTTTCGGAAACCTGCCTGGCCCTCACTAATGCTACGTTCCTTCTCCAATACTCCCACTATCCTATCGTTCAGCAACTTACAAAACACTTTTCCTACTGTGTTCAACAGTGTGATCCCCTGTAGTTTCCTGGGTCAGTCTTGTCTCCTTTCTTAAACTAGTTCACAACCACTCCTTCCCTCCATCTACTTGGCGCATACTCGTTTTTCCACACCCAGCTGTACAGCAGTACCATCATCTGGATCATCCCCTTCCCCCCAAACTTCATGAACTCGTTGACTATCTCATCCGCCCCTGCTGCTTTGTGGCACTGCAGCTTGTTCACACACGCCTCAACCTCGTCCTCAGTGAACTCCTTTTCTAGTTCTACGTTGCCAACGTCTGCCGTCGATGTCTCTTCTTCTTTCTGGGCCCATGCGTCCACCTCCTTACTAAAACACTTGGTCAAAGGCTTTATTCTCCGAAGG